GTAAGGCACCTGTTCCTAGTAGCTTCTTGTTACTACTAGTAAGGCACCTGTTCCTAGTAGCTTCCTGTTACTACTAGTAAGGCACCTGTTCCTAGTAGCGTGGCACTTGTTCCTAGTAGCTTCTCAGCCCAGATGCAGGCTGAGCGTGTCTCGATTCGTGGCCGTGGAGCCCATGGCGACTGCGACGCCTCGAAGCAGCTCCTGCTAGGCACTTGCCGTTGTGGCACTGCGGTGCTGCGCTTTTCGCCCAAATCGGCTGCGGTGTGGGACTGGGCACTGAACTGCTGCTGCTGGTTTTAGCCCACCCCATCGGTGGAATTCGGCGTCGTAAAACCGGTCATCAGGGCTATTCGGTGACCCTTAAAACAGGTCATCGGTGGAATACGGCAACCTGTAACATCGACCTCCGTTCTGTCGCTGGGACCGGGTCGAATTCGGGTGCAGCATGCGTACCCGACACGAACGTTGCGTCTTCGCCTCTGAAAAGGATTCAACACGCAGGTGGTCAGGGTCGAGACCTACTCGGCTCTGAAATGAATAGCTATGGAGGCCGATAATAGTAATATGCCACATGCCAATATCCAGTGGCTTAAGATAGCTTAAGGTAGAAATCGCACTCCACTTAGCACTTGGCGAACTCGCAACCAGCTCTTGGCGACGCCGATGGTTCGGTTGCCAGGAAGAACACCTGGTAGTTGACCTCTTTCCACCTGGTGAGTGTTCTTTTTTGCCGGACCGGTGAGTGTTTTAAGCTCATCCAGGGGGCTGAAGACGGGTAGGATGAGCCCCACGACGATCCATCACGGAAGACGACTTTCCACGTCCGGCCTCGGTGATGAGCTTTCGATCCTGACGCCGGAGGAGCCGGAGATGCGATGCTGGCTGGTTGGCAGGGACCACTCTGAAAACCCGCACCCAAAAAACACATATAGCATACTAAAGTACTAATAATTGAATAGTATTATATAACTATATCTGAAAACCCGGGAGGCTATATATATTTATTCGTTCTTTTTTTGTTGGATCTTTCTTCGTTCCCTTTCCTTTTGCCCCGTGGCGTGGGTCGGTTTTTTCAACCCTTCGTTCGTTGGATCCTCCCAACCGGCGTCGCGCCTGGAGGAGAGGTGGTGGAGTTCTATTTTTTTCTGGCGGATTTTTGGACCCAAGATGCCGCTTTTTTTGGGAATTTGGGGTCAAAGAACCATCAACGTGTCTTTCCTACATCGATTCTGTTGATTTTGAATTTGGGGTCAAGATTCACTTGATTTTGGATGATTTTGGAGGCAAGACCCAACCCATTAACATGCTGCACTCACCTGGCCAAAGGGTGGACCCCTCCCCAAACTCCACCGATCCCCAAAAACGGGGTCTGCCATGTCTGGCCTTCCGACGCCGTCACCCGACGCCGTCACACGACGCCGTGTTGGCAGTGAGAAGACCACGGCGCCCGTCTCCACGGCTTGGCCGCCCCATAGCTCCCTGGCCGTCCCCCGTATTGGACGCCCCAAAGCTCCTCCAGGGACCATCGCTGCTTCTCCCAGCTCAAGCGGTGCAACCTCGGTGGCCATTCCCCGTGCTCAGCTGGTTCTCGGGTCCCTTCGAGTCAAAAAGGTGAGGCAAAAAGGACCACCAAATTGGAATGAGCCATCTCTTTTCTGGCTCGAGCCCTAAAACACAACCAATCAAATACATATACCGACCATTCCTATTCTTTTTTGGTGGATTGCCCTACTACTACTCCAGTGGGCCCATCAAACGGCATGGACCCTGGTGTAGCCAAACGAGTATAGCCAAACTATCAGACCTTGCAAGCTCCAGCCACCGAGCCGATTTCTCCTTCTCGCCCGCGTGAGCTGCGAGTTCAGGCTCCGCCACCCCATCCGTCCATCCGGTTCATCAGACCGGGCTCCAACGAAGCTGACCAGGACCCAAAAGGACAACGCCCCTTTTTAGAGGACACATGGCCTTCTTGGAAGGCGCCTACAGTTGCGGTCCACTTCCATGGTTGCTTCAGGGATTGTAGGAATCTTCCTCTTCTTCTTCTCGCAATGATTCGACCCTCGAACGTCCTGGGGTGGCCAGCAGCCTCGCGAGCCCGTCCTTGACCTGTGCAATTTGGTGGTTGACAGGAGGGTTTCCCATTTGGGCACATTTAGTACAGTGGTGCCATGTGGGGATAACATGGGGAAACATTCCTGTGCAGAATATGTTCTCCAGTATTGGAAGTGGCGCAGAAATGGAAGTGGTGCAGCACTGCGGCATGGAGGGTCTCTCACAAGGGTTTGGCGCCGACCAAAGAAAAAGAGACAGCTGTAAACATGAAACGCATCAGATCGTGCCTCAACACTTCTGGCTATTCCCCAACAAGAAAAGGTGCACCCTTGATGGCTGAGAGATCGATTGCCCAAGAATAATGTATGAATAATGTAAACAATGACACATTCTGGAGCAACATGAAGCCACAGCCGATTCTGAAGTGGTTTTCTTTTTTCCTTTTTAAAGATGCCTCTTGGAATGACAAACATCTTCCTTGGACACACCGCCAAAGGCATAAAGAATTCTACCAAGCTTCGTCATGACTCCTTCTTCAGGTGGGACTTTTATTACACTGTGACGAACACATCACATGGTTACGTGGATGGCATGGTTGCTTGGAAGACTACTTTCCTTTACGCACAGGGGGTTCTCCACTTCCATGGAAACGTGAGCCCGAGTGTGTCTTTTGTTAACCGACCGGTCAGCTTCCCGCCACGACCTCCACAAGCTCTGCCTCCGTGAGCTGCGGGGCATCCTCAGCTTCGAGCTGAAGGGACTCTGGTGGTGTTCACCCTCAGTACACACTCTGACAAGCACATCACATGGAAGTGGACAACTCCCTGTTTGTAGTGGAAAGCTGTAGGCCACCATGGCCCTAGAGGACACCAGTGTGTTTGGAAAGTCGTCTTCCAAGAGACCCATGCCATTCACGTAACCATGTGCCGGAAAGACGTGTACAGTCATCTGTGTACAGTCATCCGCAGCATCCTGACAGCATGCATCCTCACACTCTTGTCGATGACTGCACTTGTCTGATGCACTCACATGAACATCCATGAGCTACTCAGATACTCTCAGCAGTATGACGCCAAGTAGTGGCATATGTGGGTGAACATGGGTCAAACAAGAAAGAATCTCAACTGGGAGTCAGGAATGACCCAAGGCCACCACGTGATCGGATCTGTGTATATAGGATGATGTGACATGATGGGACGGGCGCCCGAATTCTGAGATCCGGAGGATCCAACGGCTGAATTCAAAGACAGGCTAGCGGTTAACTTCTGCCACTGAGGCAGGTGTATAGGTGTAGAATATCACGAGGTTTCTCCACCGGGTCCCAGGTTCTTTCCTGGTGCTCTTCAGGTGATTGGTGGCGCCAAATGCCATAATGTAGACTCTTGATCAATAAACAACATCATGGTTTCATATATGGCTCATCATGATATCCCATGAAAGCCCAACGACCCCGGCCAGGCTGTTCGCACAAGCCAGGCGCGAACCAAGCGCGAACTTCGCGCATCGCTTGATCTGCCAGGACGACACGCTCTCCACAGTGCTGTTCGAGTTCTCGCCGAGCTCGGTGAAACGGAGAGTGAAACGATGAGATCTAGCTCACCCCCTCAACGGCGAAATGCCTGTGACACATCAGGGAGAGCTGCTTATTGTAACTCTTTGTGGTGCCGCTTTGGTGGTCTTCGTGTTCCAAGGGTTGTGGCCGATCGGACCTTCACCAACCCCCCTAAGCGAGATTCACTTCAAATCGAGACTTGCAAATACTTCTTGCGTCCTGCTGTCTCGGCCTTCCCTGCGCATCACCACTGGTGAAACACCGCAGGCGATAAGGAACGCCGGAGCATCGGTCGAACGACGCTTGGGTTGTGATGTAGCCACTCCACTGGGGTCGCCGACGTGATGTTTGCATACATCATATGTTGACGGTTGGTGATATACGCTGGAAGTCCAAGACCATGGTTTTGCAGTGGTTAAACCTTTAGTATAACAATATGTTTGGTAAGGGCTATATTCTGATTAGATTGTGTTTCGACTTCTATTGTATAGATACAGCAACTCATATCTCTCCAGGGGGGTTGATTCGACTCATCAACAGTGAACATCTTGCAAAACCAGAAACTGCAACAAGTTGCTGAACCTCTCCGTCCGAATCGGCAAATCTCTTGAGATCTCTTGTGGGTTGAGGGTTTCCTGCAGCTGTCTCTTACCAAAACCACAGTATGGACCCTTGGCACGTTGAGATTTTCTAGAGCAGCCCATGAATTCCAAGAACTGACGCCGAATGCGTGAACGCCCGCGATCCGATATACCGTAAATGCCTTTTGGTCAATCGAAACCACGACCGGGTCCCAACATGCCGAATTCGCATTGGTGAATCAGCAGCTGAGAGCAAACCACTCAGAAGACATGTCCTGCTTGCGCAGCTTGCGGGTCTTGTCATCTTGTTCTCCTCCATCTTGTGTCCCCAAATGAAAGAAGAGTCGGCTCGGGGGAGGAAGAACAAATCCAGCATCGATCTGTTTTGGTGATGTAGGCAGCTGCTGAAGCAACCCCCTCTGGAGAGTCCACTGGGAGGTATTGATCAACAGTCAAGATTGCCCAGTTTTAGCCCAGCTGATCTTGCAAAATCTTGGATTTGTTCAAGCAACCGAGAAAAACCAAGACATACTGAAATACTCCCCCAAAAGGAGTTTCACCCATACGGAAAACACATATCACCCTAATTAAGCAAGACCAAGAGAAGGACAAGATCATGCTTCTGCGCCTTTTTAGGCAAAAAGCTGGAGGATGAACATGGTCCAGAAAGGATGACCATGCTCCTCTATAAATGGGGGGGTTCCACCCTGTGATGTGTTTGTCGGAGAGATTTCACGTGTAAACACAACTACTCCCCACCCGACCGGCCCACAGCTTGGCACAAATGGACCAACCCCGGTCCAACATGCATGCCTTAGTTCCGACGGCTTTGTGTCACCTTATTTAAGACCGGCTGGAGGCAGGGTGTTTGAGTAAAGTAGCTCAGGGTCCGTACAGTATGGTGTGGCTCTAGCCTTTATGCGTGCTATGCTTGCACTGGCCGAGCCTCTTCACACATCCTCCTCATCTTCCTGGCGAGCCATGGCAAAGGCGAAATCCTTTCTCCAAGCAATCCATGTGTGGTTTTAGGGTTAAAACAGTGTTAAAACTTGGCGCGTTGATGGGGGGGAACAATTCTATTTGCAAAATTCCTTCATCATCTTCATCAAGGAGCTCCAGGTGCTAAAATCATCACTTTGACCGAAAAGCCTGGTATTGAACATTTGAACCTGCTCCAGCCCGCCTCCAATAAAAAGGAATCCCGTGGTCATTCTTCCGTGTTGGCAACCTACGACCGAACGTGGTTCTGTTCCACCTTTGGGGCAGAAACACTCAAAACATGTGCGCTCCACTCTAAGAACCTCCCTACACTATGTTTGTATACGGGTCATTTTGGGCTGAACAGGAAGGTCATACCATCCCACCAAAATCTGAACAGGAATGATTACTACTTGTTGAACCGATGGGGTGAGGTTTCTCACTTACCTAATCTTCCTATCTCTTTAAGTCTTCTCTGCTTTGACAGCTTCTGACCGCTGATTTGTTGCTTCGAGCTTTCGTGGTCCTTCCTTCGTCCTGCCCCCGCACGAGCGACCTCAGCGATTGGCTTCGCCATCTCCTTCGCCATTTTCACCTCAGGTGCGTTGCCCCTAAATTGTCTGTAGTAGCTTCTTGTTACTAGTGGTAAGGCCAGGAGCTACTAGTAGCTTCTTGCTCCTAGTAGCGACGCCCTTTGTTCCTAGTAGCTTCCTGTTACTAGAGTTGGTTCAGTTTTGCTGGGAAAAGAGGTAGGTCCAGCATCTGAAATCATCTTGACGTGGTCTTTCACCCAGCTTGTTTGTAGAAAGGGCGAACCAATCCCAATGATCATCCCAAAGAAAATCAATGAAAATCACTTGGGGTAACAAAAGCCGGCAATTATCCACAACTCCACAATCGAATTGTAGGTCAGGGACTTGCCTAATGATCCCAATGGACCCGATATCCCTCTCTTACTGTATATATAGTGACATAATATGACACTCCATTCTATGGCAACAATGGGTTTTGAGGCTCTCTTGTCTAGTTCTGCTTTGTCCAAACAGTTTTTGCGTCGGATTCCCGGCATGCTCATCACGGGTCTGCAGGGTGCGCTCGACCAGTTCCAGTAGAGGCCTGGCGTACAGGGCCAGCTCGGTAGGGAGTGCAGCTCGGGGGTGTCAACCCTGGCCCATGGCCCATGGGAAGGGAATTTTGGTCAAACGCATGTCAGACCTAGTCAACTGGTAGGATTTGCGCCCAGAAAGTCCACAGGTTGTTGATGGAGGAAGACCTGGGACCAATTCCCAGACTGCCATGGAGGCTTGGTGTGGATGGTCGTTCCAGCTCGCTCCAACAGACTGATGCAAGTGATGCCGACACAGGTGCATACTGCATCTTTCGCATCAGCTCACCAGCATCTTTGGAGGCTTTGGACGTGATAGACATGAAGATGCTGAATTGAACTACTCGGCCGCCCTCTCGCAAATTAATGTGGACCCTGAAAACCGCGACCGAAAGTAGATGAAACATGGCCTGGAGGGAGTTTAGCGGTATTTGTTTGTTGTTTGGTTTGACTGCTTTATGGTTGGCTATGGTTGGCCCACACTTCATTTGTCGAAGCAACCGGCAACTTATGGCCATCACAGCTGCGAGCGCCACAGCAACTGGTACCTGTCGAAGCCACCAACCAGCAACCATCTTTGATCAAACACATCCAAGACCAAGGTCATGCTGAGTCATGCTGTCACATAGTCAAGAACCTGCTTCCTAGGATGCAACACTTCCTTTCTTCTATCGTTCTGAAACCAAACATCGTGCCAAGAGAGGACTCTGCCAACGCTTCACCCAACACACCGACGTCGACCGGTCCGAACCGGTCCGCTCCGCATTGCTCCGCTGCGCCGTTCCCTGGCTTCGCCTATTCAACTGGATTTCGGCTTCACCTGCACCCGGCTTCAGCCAGGGGAGGGGAGGGGGTGGAACATGGCGCCGGGTTCGACCGGAGTTGGAAGATGCCCTGAGAACCCGGACGAAGGTAGAACTCCCTGGCTTGGCATGAGCAACTGGTTTTGAGAGAAATGTTGAGTTTTCTTGGCAGGAGTTTCTTTCTTGGGAGGTCTCCCTTGCACAATGTGCGAAGCATCAACCAAATCCATTTAAGAGCATCTAATCAACCAATCCATCACTCGAATACATGTATGGCAATCTAAGACCATACGTGTGTGGGACCTTTATTCTAACAATCACCTCTTTAGAAGATGACTGAAACGCGTCACGCGTCGCGTCACGCGTCGCGTCCCCATGTCACCCTGCATCCAGTCGACCGGCCGAGGCTCTTCGCACACCTCCCATCCTTCGGTCTTCGGCGTCTTCCGCGTCTTCGGTGTTTTCCGTCACTTCCGTCGGCCGAGGCACTCATCTCTGGCACCGACTGCCGTGCTTTGTATTCCATCTGCCTCTCGATGTCCTGAAGAAGAAGACGGATCTGCTTGGGGAGGTGATGGGAGGTGAGAAGGTCGAAAACCACCCCACATCTCATGGCTAAGCCTAGGGATCCTGGACGGTGGTTAGCATAGATCAACTGCACCCTGAACCCTAAACGGTTGCAATAGTGTCTATCTGAGTCTATCGAAAAAAGACCTACGTCCATCTACCAGTACCTGGGCACAACTGCGCATCGAACAACAAACCAAACTCATACAAACTCCCAAATCTGACTGCACCTGGCTGGTTGATGGGTCCTATGACATATGGGTCGGATTCCCTTTTTGTTCGGACCACCCCGACGAAGCGAGTTCAGGTCGGAATGGGAGGGTCATGAGACAACCTTTCCGTTACGAGGAATCGCTCTTCGGAAAGAATGAACAACCATGATAATGGACGCGTACTCACACAATGAGATTGCAATGATGTTTTGTAGTTGTTTTTTTTACAGGGAGGCCTTCCAGTTCGACTTCCTGGAAGGAGGAACATAGACCAGTCTATCCATTGGTTGGGAGGACATGGGAGGACTGCCAGAACCGCACCTGCCACGGTTCCGCTCCAGCCTTGCGGTGCTCGAGGTTGCGGACCCTTCGGTCTATGACCTTCTGCTTCTCCACCGAGTTGTACTCCTGTCAGACGGTGTTTTTCTGGCTTCGGCACCTGAAAGGTTGGGAGGTTTCAAGGTTGCTCCGGCGCCTTAAAGGTACTGGCGCCAAGTACTTGGCTCGTCCGCTACTGGGTCAATGGAGGTATAGAACGAGTCTGTTCCAAGATGAGGCTCGCCGGAGACGTTTCACCCAAAGGCGCAACCTATGGCACGGATAGGTTAACCCGCCAATGGCGGGGGAGATGCTGCGACTTGGGAGCAACCGCAAGAAATCTCGCTATGTTGATTTGCATTTGGATCATTTGCAGTAGTCCGGCTTGGATTTATCATGGTGTCTCCATCTAACCGTTGCCCCCCCACAAAAAAAAGTGTCCACCCAACAAAAATGCTCAACAAATCATTCAGAACGACATCCAGTCCTCAGCATCTCGTTCGAGAATGGCCGCTTGGATCTGCTGTAAATACTTCTCCTGACCGCGACTGGGCATCATGATCTGACGGTTTTCTCCAAGCGAATGATGAGGGGCTGGGGCCACTACTGGGTTCTCTGGATCAAACACACATCACTAACATCATCCGTTTCCAAAGGCCATCGCGATGATTGATAGTACCCAAAAACTCCATCACAATGAGTAGTCATACATTGTTATACCTACATAAGAGTCATTGTCTGCCACGAGGAGTGCAAGTTGGTTGACTGATACCTCCTGCATCGTTCCAGCTCTTCCAGCTTCCAACAAATCGACATCAACCAAAACACATGACATGACTTTTTGATACCTTTTTGACCAACGACATGCAGTTCCGGGATCACTTGGAAGGCCTTGGAAGGCTCCAACATGTGATTGCGGGAAGTCCTTCCCTTTTCCCGGAATCCTCAACATCTCAGTGCGATCGCGAAGTCCGGGGAGGATATGAGATACCAAATTACGTGGGAATCGCTAGATCTCCCTTGTTCAAAAGTCAGCTGATGTTCAACAGGACCTCTACACTCCGACTCACTAACATGGACGTGAGTCAGAGGGTAAGACATCTTGAGCATAATTTTGAGCTCCAGCAGTTCCAAAGAGGTGCTTGATGGAGGTTATGGTTAGGGGTGCCCAGAACATCCACTCACCTAGGGATAAGTGAGTACACCCCTTGAAGTGAAGCTCTGAAATGGATGCTGTCCTTTGAGCCTATAACTTGGACTGAACCGCCATTTAGCGGATGCAAGGGACAAGGTGGCAAATCTGTTGGCTGCCAGGTGTCTGATGTGAGGATTGTGAGGTGGAATCCTTAGGCGTAGGTGGGTCCAGCATTCAGAGAGGAGTTCTGTCTAGCATTAACTAGACTCCGTTTTGGTCCAAGGCTGCCTCGGATCTTTATCCAAGTTCTCCATTTGTGGGACTGCTGGATGATCTGATGGGCCTACCATTCTCCATCCCAAAGGTGAGTGTTTGGCAGTCTTTGACCACAAAACACACCGCCCCTGCCCACCCGCGCAACGCCAAGTCAGCTAAAATCAAACCTTTGACGGCGGGCGCTGGCCTCATTCTTACGAGAGTCCTTCTCCTCCATCTGCTTCAGCAAATAGGCCTCACACGAGTCTGAACAAAGGAGGCCCAGGATGTCCTTCCCAAATGCACTGATTTACAGTAAGTACGTTACATTGCTCAAGGTATGGAACTTGCTGTCTACCCAAAGAATAAAACACGCAGAAGCCATTGCCAATGTGGGGATAGAGGAATGACAAGCCTCCCAGGATATAGACATATATTGACCAATTTATTTTATCTCTTGAGGAATAATAAATCTCCCACTGGTGCTCAAATGTGCATAAATATCATACATATTCTTTCTCTGCCAGAAGCACCAACCGTACTTTGCCCCACCAGCAGAAGGCCCCTGGCCTGGTTTTCCAAACGCATCCTCAGCAAGTGGAGGAGAGGAAGAGGACATCCAAACGAGCTACTCACTGAAGTGGACAATGGATATGAACATTGCAGGTTTCTTGGAGAGAAAACACATGCAAAAATGGATGCAACATGCAGTCTTGCGCCAACCTGGCCTCTATGGCTGTGGGTCAAAACCAGGGTATCCGGTTTGAGATTAACCTAATTAGGTTTGGGATGGTTTGGGACTCCAGGTTGCCACTCACCGTATATTCTATCGTTCAATCATGTTCAATCTCGTATTTTCGCTTCGTTGCCAAGTTCGGCCATTTTTTGTCCGCGTGCCAAATGAACAGGGCCGCTTGCAGAACTTCTGTCGATCTGATCGTCAAATTACAGCAGGTCCAAACTGTTTTGAGATGTCGACTTCACATCTCCCCCAAACCTGCCTGGGCGCCTACGGAGCATACTACTGAGCCATCGCTTTCGGAAAAAAAACTGAGGCCCATCCAAGGTCGATCTCCACACTTCCGGGAAAACCGACACACACACACACACACACACTCTTTGCCTCCCTGGCCTCAGTAAATCGTGGCTCTGTACCTCACCGGCTTCGTGCCGAGGCCGTTGAAACCGGAGCTGCCAGAGCCCGCGCCGGCGCCGCCCAGGTTCACTTCTCCAAAGGGTCGCCGCGCCACGAGCCGCTCGCCCGGCGCGAACGGACGGTTCGCCGCGAGTCCGGCCGCGGCGACGGCGGGGGCTCGAACCAGGTCGGGGCAGTTCTCCACCAAACCGCGGCTGATGATCTTCTTCTCCAGTGGGGCTGCCTGACGGCTGTGACGGATCAAGGGTGGAATTTAGATGAACTTAGCACAAAAGAAAAAGATAACTAAGGGATGGTGGAAGCATGTCACCCCGGCAAATACTGAATGTTTACATACTGTAGCAGGGTAGGTTGTTTAGATCATAGGCCGACATGAACATACAACATGGCGGTAAGCATTAAATCATTATATAAGATTATATAAGTATATAATTATGTTACCAAACACGAGTTTTAACATGGGAACATGCAATTTTTGGGCAGTCTGAGACTTCCAAGGTCACAACAGAATTTTAACGGCTTTCGACCGGGACCCCCACTGCCCCGCTCCGGCGCCACATGTCATGCGCTCTGCCTTGGTCCTTTCACTCCCGCCCTCTGCCATAGTGAGCCCCTTGATCATGCCGCGGAGATAGTTTTCGGCCTCGTGCCGCTGATGTGCCCACGCCCTTCTGAGCTTTGTCTGATTGAAGCAGGGGCTTCAAATGTCAGAGTTGAACACATGCAATTTGGAAGTGGATGATATGTGGTCCTTTAGGAAGAACGATGGAAAACATTCCTTGACAAACACGGGGCTGTCATCCACCGCCATGTTGCATCAGAGTGCAATTACTGATTGGCACCCGGCACTCCGATTTCGGCTCGGTCTGTATTTTCAGAACATGGACTTGTCCCCAAAAGAGAACGCTCCCTCCTCATGTTCGCTTCAGATGAGTCGGATGAGTATACCCTAGAAGTCGAACGACCATATTTTGACCGGCTGAAGTAAAGGAAGTTCCCTCTTAGGTCCTCTAAAGAAGACAATTCTCTTTGTAGTCCTTGACTCCCAGGCCATAGACCGTCGTCATCAGTCGTCCGATAGTTCGTGCGATGCGAGTCTGGGCCAACACAGGTCCGACGCTCCTGTCGCACTTCTGCGGTCCGATGCTCCTGTTCCAAACGCCTCAAGGACTCATCGAACTCGCGCCAGGTCTCCTCACTCACCTAGGGAAGCACAATGGAAGCGCTCGAAACGGCGGGTTACCGTGGTGAAGCCGCAACGGCGGACTGCCGAGCGCTCGGTTTAGGGGCACCTTTTTCCGAACATATCTAACTCTGTCCATCTGCGTCCGAACGACAGGAGCGCCGCAAACCGAGTATTCCCACATATTCAAGGGCATGAGCTAACAATGAAGACCACACAAGGCCACTTCAGTGCTTGGCCTTTACGTTCTATGTCAAGACCCATCTCTCGTTCAGTGCGTCCCTCTCCTGAAAATCCCACGTCACCCCACCCCCTTGCAGTGCGCCCTGAAAAAGGAGGATGGCCACACGTGGTGTCGCCCCGCAAAACGCCACAAGTTCCACGCATGACGTCACACTGCACACTCCAGGGTTCCAGGATGTTCCACTCATTTTTTGGATGGTATCTCCAGGTCACGGCATCATAGTCCAACGGCAAGCCATCGCGACATGTGAAAAGCACACGCTCGTTCTCGGCGTTCTCAGCGTTCTCCTCGGCCTTCGGCCCGGCGGCGGCGTCCTTCGGCACGTCGCGTTCCGCCTCCAGCGTCTGGCCGTTCTCGTTGCAGGGAGTCACTGTCGGCCACTTGGTGGGTTGTAAGGCCTCACGTGCCTTGGAGGTGAGACTGTCCTGACATTCGCGGCGCGAGACGGATTCCGGTGAGACTGAGTAGATGTTGTAAGTGAAGGTTTGGGGCAGCCAACTAGCAGGGAAGAGGTAGGAGCAGGGAAGAGGTAGGCTTCAGTGGTAGTTGAGAGCAAGTTGGCCACAAGGCTCCTCTGGGAGAATAGTGGGATTATTTTTTAAACAAACCCGCTCTTGAAATATAGTTGGAAATTAGATCTGTTTTGTTCGTTTGGATGTTCTTTGTAAAGAATTATTTTAGAAATATCAGCCTTATGCAGTTAGTGTATTCTGCTTATCTTGCCTTTGGTGGGTTGACTAGAAGGGGGGCTTAGAAAATTATTAAGGGATGCATTAACTGAGTCTGTCGAAGTTTAATCACTAGTCTGTCTTTTTATTGGCACAACCGGTCAAAATCAACAAGTCAACAAATAGTTAACAATGAAGTGCGCCTTGAGGAGCTCCATCTCGCCGTTCTCACTGTCTTTCAATCTTCGGACCTCCCTTGTCCAGTGCCAAGGATCGCCATCAGCTTCCAAAATCATTGAATCCGCTGACTCTTGGATTCAGCGCCGTAGAAAGCTCCCAACCAACGACGTTCTGTGGCTCCAGTGTTCTTTGCAAGACAACTGAGCGTCGTTGTCCAGTCAGCTTGACTGCGTGCAGTAAGGAGCATCTCTGGCTTTGGCAAGCCTTGCGGCAGTGGTGTTTGCTGTCATCACTGCCTTCTTTGTCAACGTCGTCGCTGTAGTGACAGTCACCGAAGGGGATGTTCTTACGTCAACACCTTGGGCATGTGGCGACGCGTTGAAGCAGTCAAGGCAGATCGAGCAGTGCGTACGCAGACAGCACTGCACAGGCGGACATGCAACAAGCTTCCAATAGTTTCCACGTCTGTCTCGACCGGCTCCAGGCAGCTGACCTCATGAGTTTGCTTGGCCTTGCTGTAGTCGTGGTTGCCAAGTAGGGCGAATCCGTCCATCCGTCCGCGCATCTCCCTGGAGCGAGACATTCCTCAAGTCTGCGTGGAGTGATTGTAGGGCTTTGGAGGTCCCTGTCCGCGTGTGGGTTTTGATCCAGCAGCCCTTGGTTTTGCATCATCAATGCCATGTCCTCCTTCTTGGAAAGCCATTAATGAAGGGCTGACACTTCCAGAGTCTGCATTGGCTCCAGCCAATTGGCCTTTCGACTGGCTCCAGAAATAGAGTCCAGAAAGAGGCTTCTCGAAACTCAAACTTCTCAAAGCTCAAACTCAAACCCCTCCAACGTTTTGGAATCTTCTCAGACTTTTCTTCAATAAATTCAAACATACATCTCCAGATTGAAAGCAGTCAAAGCAGCAACAAAATGGTAAAAGGTGCGGCAAAGTAAACATTTTGGAGAAATACAGAACATCATTGAAACCCAAAAACAACAAAAAGGCAGGCAAGCACCAAGTACTTTACTTCGAGTGGTCCCCACCATGACATTTCAATCTTTTGTCTTGATGCCATAGTGAGGAGCATGTTGCCATGGTCGTGAGTATTGTAGTTCTCGATTTTGGTTGTGGGTACTCGGGTTGTGTGCTGTGGTTGTGTGTTGTGTTTGTGGTTGTGTGTGTGTGTGTGTGTTTGTGATAGTGATTGTTTGTGATTCGTCATGGTGTTTGTGGTTGCGTGTTTGTGGTTGTGTGTTTGTGGTTGTGTGTTTGTGGTTGTGTGTGTTTGTGGTTGTATGTGTGATTGTGTCTGCGGTTGTGTGTGTGATTGTGTCTGTGGTTGTGTGTTTGTGATTGTGTGTGTGTGTGGCTGTGTGCTTGTGATTGTGTTTGTGATTGTGTGTTTGTAGTTGTGGTTGTGGTTGCTTGTTTGTGGTTGTGTTTGTGGTTGTGTGCTGTGGTCGAGGTCCGGCAGGGAACACTGGGCGTGGAAGGTCGTGGTTGAGGTCCGGCAGGGAACACTGGGCGCGGATGGTCATGGTTGAGGTCTGGCAGGGAACACTGGGCGTGGCAGGTCGTGGTTGAGGTCCGGCAGGGAACACTGGGCGTGGATGGTCGTGGTTGCGGTCCGGCAGAAATCACTGGCCATGGATGGTCGTGGTTGAGGTCTGGCAGGTAACACTGGGCGTGGATGGTCGTGGTTGAGGTCCGGCAGGGAACACTGGGCGTGGATGGTCGTGGTTGAGGTCTGGCGAGGAGGAGAGAAGAAGAAGGAGGAGGAAGTCAGCTAACATAAAATCTAACAACCCTCACCTGACAGGTGGGGAACTATAAGTAAGCGCAGGCCAAAATGGCAAGGTACACTAAGGACCGACCGATAGTGGCGCAAACCAACCGCAGACCAATGGCAATCTACAAAGAGGGTAGTGGCGCAGACCAACCGCAGACCAAACGCAGACCAATGGTGCTACGGGGCTATTGGTTGGGTAAGCTTTCAGAAACTTTTTTCGTCACGGGGTCCAGTTTTCAAGCCGCCAGAGCAGCCACAAAACAGTAAGAGGTGCTGCAAAGCATATGTTTGACAGAAAACAAACAAAAATTAAATCTGTACCAAAAAGGCAGGCTAGAGGCAAGCTAGAGCAAACCAAGCGTTCCAACAAACCAAACGCAAAGTACACAAAGGATAGTCGCGCAGACAACCGCAGACCAAGCGCAGACCAATGGCAATGTACACAAAGGGTAGTGGTGCAGACCAACCGCAGACCAATGGCAGTGTACACACAGGACAGTGGCGCAGACCAACCACAGACCAATGGCAATGTACACAAAGGGTAGTGGCGCAGACCAACCGCAAACCAAGCGCGGACCAATGGTGCGGAATTCAGGTCAACAATTTAATTAATTAAATAGTGATTATTAACGTTATTAACATTTTCAACAAAGCGTTCAACTAAAAATTGCTAAATAAACCAGGACCAAGCACCCTCGAGTCCCTGCAATGCTCTCGTCGCGTCCGGGTCATTAGGCATGAAGCCCCTGATGTCCGACGTGGTGATAGAAGCGTTCCAGAACAGCTTCTTCAAAAGGAACGGCATGCACTGGTGGCCCGGCGCAACCATATTGTCCGGCAAAGGGTCTTAGTAAAGCAGGATTTTATAAAACAATCTGCGGCTTCTTACATTTACATTGAAGAAACAAAGTGGAATCAAAATTTAAAAATTCAAATGAATTAACAAAGGGCAAAGTTACCACTTGGGTCCGGCCTGCAATGAATCGGGTCACGGTGTGCAAGGTCCATGTACTGGTAATCACACCCGTACGCCACAATGACCAGAGGCTCCTTCTCAACGTCCTCCCAGTCCACTAGGTCGACCTGGATGTCCTGGTGGTTGTACGACCTGGCTCCCCGATCGAAGTAGGTCCGACCTCGTGACTGCCATTGCCTCTGCGGCATGGGTCCGGCCGGCTGGTGAGGCAGCTGTTGAATTGGCCGCCTGTACGGCCTCCGCCCCAAGTCCAACTCGGGGTCGAAGGCAAAAAGGTCTCCGCCGCACGTCGTCCAGGCCATGCACTGTCCGACGCGCAGAGAGATGTCCGACCCAAAAAAATCTGAAGTGGTGAATAAATAGATTGGGTGACATTAATTCAATTAACTCTTTGACTAAGTAAACACGCGGAGGCTCACCCGGAAACTATAAACAAAATAACATGTGAAAATTATGTGTGAAGCTGTGACTGTTGGAATGTGGAGTTGTGGTTGCAACCATGCCCAGGGAATTGGAATTAAGAACATGCATGGCTGTCCTTATCCTTTTCCTGAGCCAACAAATTTGCAAGATCACGCAATGAAACCCACGCTTTGTCGGACGATCGAGAGTTATTGATACTACGACTCGGCAAACACGCCAGTGTCACCTTGAAGACCATGTCGTTGGAAGCAGGCAGGCGGTCGATGAAGATGAAGTCCGGCCAGAAATGTCCGACCCAGCCCAACCCAGTCCGACCCAACCCAACCCAGCCCGACCAAAGGATCCAAGGTTTACCTGTAACTACTTAGAGAAACTCCTAGTGTTGGACCAATGACTGCACCTGCACCGACATTTTACACAGGTTCAAACAAGCAAATCATACCAAGTGGACAAGTCACAATCAACAGCTTTGGCAAGCAGTCATCCTTTCAGTCATACCCATAATAAATGGGTGCCCTTTGAGTGGGCTGGTCATTTCTGGAGATATCATCTTACAAGGTTTGAAGCACTTTGCATGCAGTTGGAACACACAAAACACATGGCACACTATTGAAAGCAACAATGGAGGAAAGCCAGCAGGCAGCAGCTGTATTCCAATTGAATTGTTACACTACCCCAAGTGTCACACTCTGTATTAGTGGCTTGATACCCACCACCTCAATTTTATTTATAATACTAATTAGGGATTTGTTTTGATTGTTTGGTTCACCAACACAAGCCAACAGCTCTTGTCCCAGCTTTGTAGAACGTTGATATCAAATCTCAAGACACTTGGACTTCCAACTTTATGGCTAGTTTATGAGAAAGATCAACTCCCACCACTTTAAGGATTTCTCTGGGCCTGCAAATCATACTACCCAAAATGAAACCCTTAGATTGAAACCAGGATAGAAAGACTGCTGGCACGTCCAATTGCAGCACTAAGTATACTCAACTGAGTTGAGGTATGGAATCAACAACTGAAAAGTACATCACAACCCGGGTGATTATTGTTCATTGAAATACTGTTTTTGACAAGCTCTTGACAAACAAGGTTTATCAGATACTTTTATCTGAGTGAAACCATTTTTTTACATACTGACATATACAGACTGTTATGCAAAATGATGTTGATCAAAATCATGTAGAATTCCTACCTCTTCCCTGCTAATCGTCCCGTCTGAGAAGGTGCTTCATGGAGACCTGAAGGCCCTAAGAAACTCCTTCCTGATCATGCCAGCACCTACGCCTAGAATGAGCAGTCTTGGACTAGCCCAAGCTAGCCTCCCCCCAAATTCACGTCGGGTGTGACGATGCATGTTCGATGGTTTCTATGCAGAATCCGGGAGTTTTCAGGGTTCAGGGGATCATCTGCAGGCATTTCCATTCACCCAACCCCTGGTCCTTCTCCTTTCCGCCAAGGCTTCCCAATCCACCCAGGCACCAGCGCTTCTCCTCGCACCATTGAGGCGGGGACAGGTTACAGAACCCGTGGTGGGGTATAGTTTGTATATAGACACCTGGAACCCAAACATGACCTCTGTTTTGATAGGAAAAGGCAATATTTTGGGTGGTTGGTGGTCAAAAAGAGAGGTCATTCAGGTTCTAAACATGTGTAGACACAATTGATTTCTGGTTTGTTTGGGTTTCCACGGTTTCCAGCAGGTGCAAGTTAGGCGTTTACGTCGTGCTTGCCAAGAGCAACCGTCAACATCTGTCAACTGGTGTCAGCTGTCAACTCTTCACGCTGACCAGGGATTTGGTGTTCGCGCGTGTTCGCAATAACAAGTCGGACAACATTTTTTTGCCATCTCTCCCTATCTCACCATCTCTTCCCGCTTTCCGCGCTCATCATCTGCTTTCCCCGCTCCTCCTCTTTGGGCTTCCACCCCCATCCGGTGGCCATGGGCATGGGTGGCACCATCACCACCGACGTGGGCGCCACCATCTTCGGTGACCCCGGCGACCACGGCGAGCGCGGCGACACGCGCAGCCGCGCCGGTGGACTGGGGCGGCGTGGCAGCACCCAGGGCGGTGCGGCGTGGGCCGCCGGGCTGGTGTGCGGCTTCGGAGCCATGTTGGTTCCGGGGATGGAAGTTCAGGATCCCACGGATGCGCCAAATTCAACAAACAGCAAGGGGTCCAAGGTGATGTATTTTTTTGAGAATTCGCCAAGTCTTGAGAAGTTGTTCTTTCTGCATCCGACGGCACGTGATCGAACAGGTCGCTGGTGCCTCGCCCCGGAACTTGTGCCCGGCCGATCTTCAAGGCCCGAGCTGCGGGGAATCCACACAGAAGTGGAGAGGTTTCCAGGCAGTTTTGGAGTGGCCATGAGGATGTTGAAAGAATGTGTCTTTTTCATGCACCAATCACATCAATCACGTCCAAATGCTAGGCTATGAACAAAGGTCCCCAAAAAGCAATCTCAATCTTGAAGTGGAAACTTGCATGGCCGTAACCATCCTAGACACCTCGCCTGGCGCTGGCCTAGACAGCTCTTTCTATTGGACTTGGAGACTGGAACAAAGGGCACCGTTCTGCTTCAGCAGTTCTCACCCTCCGGTTCCCCGGCTGTTGCAAACGGTTCTGCTTCACGGACTCCGCTTCGAAGTAGTGCCTTGCGACACGAGGGCGCCCACCCTGCGACCGAAGGGGGCGAAGCGGAGGTGGCGACCGTGGTTCTTGGGGCCCTCCCCCCGAAAGAGTATACCCTTAGAAGTCCAAAGACTATATTTTGACCGACTGAAGTAAAGGAAAATTCCTGAACTCGGGTCACCTAAAGACCATTCTTTTTATAGTCTTTGACTCCCAGGGTACTATATACCAGGGTCACTACCCTACCTTACTTAGCTTCCAAACAGGGCACCCAAACAGGAAGTGCTATAGATAGGTGAAAATGTGAGTGCAAAGTAAGTCTGACTGGGTTTTGGAGTCGGGACCGGGCCAGGTTTGCTGGAGACATATTACAGAATATTTCAGAAGTACTACGATCATCTACTATTCACTCACTTGCTGAGTAGAAGCAAGAGTAAATCTTTGGTTTTTGAACCTCAACACTCCCTTGCTCACCTACTTGCATCCACAAACTCCGCACCGTCCCAACTGCTCACTGATCAATGAATTCCCTGTCCCTGCTTAGGAAGGGCTCCTTCCACCAATCATTCGCAGCTGAACATGGGCCGGCAAATGGATATGATGCATTTTTGCATTGGATATGCGCCTGACTGTCTGCCTGTAGTGCATTTTCTGCTATGAATTACTGATAATTACGATGAAACACATGAGGAAAAAGGCGCCATCCGCCGGCCCGGGCATTCGCCCGAGTTTTTTCGTCTCCGAGCTCCTCGCCTGTCTTGCTCTTCCGCTTGTAGAGCCGCCCGTTGGGCATCGTTGTCACCGGCACCCTTCTTCACGGTGTCCTCAACGGGGAAGAGAGTGCAGTACCGACCACTCCAGTCAGCGTCCGGTTCAAGCAAGCAAGTACCCCGTCATCATGCAGTACGGAGAACATGGAGAACATTCAAGCCTGAGATGAACTGCATAACATGTGGCATGCACCTGATGATATTGCATTCTCAAAAGATTCCCTGTTGATAACTTGGCGACAGGCAACCCCGATAAAAAACATCTTATATATCCTCACCACATCCAATGGTCACTACACTAGAAGCCAGCCAATGTCCACCAGCCAATGTCGGGCTGGCTTCTGGCAGTTTAAACGACTGAGACGAAATGAGATGACGAACGGGTCTCAATCCGAGTCACTACGTTCTCTTGCAACTTCTTCATGAGTTCGGACTGTCCTTGGCTCATCTCATTCAGCAACAAAACAAGGGATGATATGGGATGATATATTCAGAGAGAGAGAGTGCGTTGGAAAACGTGGGTTCCACTTTGGGTTCCACTTTTTCCACAGCCCCACTGTGGCTTCCAACTTATGAATTCCATAACCCAAACCATCCGGATGGTATAGGCATGTCTATGTCGTAGGCAATATATGCCGCTCCCATGGATGGTCTGTGTAATCAAGTGTTAGGATGTGTTAGGAGATCTCATTGACAAATTGACGTGATTGCACTCTTTGGAGCTGACAGGGAAACAGGGGGTGAACTCCACTTCCATGCTAGTTCCAGAGTAACACTTATCATTTTCATAAACAGGTTGGTGTCTATGTAGCATGGCGCGGAGAGCCATGCAGGATGGCCACGCACATAGAGCGTCTCATCAACCGATTACGACAAGCACTCACATCTGTCATGAAGCGTCACACTCCGATAAAACACGTCACAAATCATCAGAACACATGGAGTTTCACCACGCCGTAGAGTCTAGAGTCTACACGGTCTTTGTAAGGGCACGACCGTCCACTTCGTGCTGTGTTCGTACAAGCCTCGGTTCCCCCCACTCACCCAGTGTGCAACAGCGTCACCCTCCCACAGCACCTCCCACCTCCCACGTCACCTGCCGGCGTCCTCCGCCGAGGCACGCTCCATCCTTGCGGCTAACTCGTGCGCTCGTTGCTCCTCCTGTTCGTCCAGCAGCCGGTTGTATTCCTTCATGGTTTCCGCCTCACACACGAGCCGCCAAGCGGTGCTGTGCTTTTGTGCGCAGGCTGGCGCCGCCTTTTTGGCGCTAACCGGAAACGAGGAGAAGCAACGAAAACTGACCTACCCATCTGGCCTTAGAGTTTTTCACGGAAGAAACATGTGTCAAAGCAACTTGAGCGGGGAAACACGAAAGGTAGAGACGGACCGAGTAGCTGTCGGGACCTTTTCTGGTGAGGGACTGTCTCCGGTGTTTCAGGAACGTGCCCCTTGGTCAATCATAGATGAAACCAACAAAGCCACAGAGCACAAGAAGGCATAAGAAGGATCAAGAGGAACTCCGTTGCGGTCAGATTGCGCCACACGGCTCTGCAGAGAGGCTGCGTTGCGTCGACGCTCGTTTGTGTCTAGGTGTGTGAAAAAAGGCGTGCGTAAAAGTCGCAATGCGTAAACGCTCGCATGTGTACCAGCTATGGTCCCACAGCTGCACGCACTGTGTCAGGATTACAGGCCTGCACGCGTTGCGTCGAAGCCGCAGTGACTCAGTGACCAACCCCCTTGTAAGGATAGTGCTGGAGGGGTGCGGCCGGTACTGCCAGGGATGGACGTCACGCTATGGTGGGTGTGCTCCACGATGCGGTAAGATTTCGCCACGCTAGGGTATAAGGCTGAGTCGAATGGTGTTCCGCGACGCGAGGGGTTTCTCCACAGGGCTTTGCAGAGAGGCTGTGTTGCATCGATGCTCGTTGGTGTCAAGCAATATGGTCTGTGAACGCAGTACGCAGTACGCGCTGTGTCAGGCTGCCGGGTGCGCACGCGCGGCATCGAAGCTGCATTGCGCGACCTCATTGCGCAGGGTTCGTGCTGTATTGCGCAACCTCATGGCCAGCGTCGTACTGCTGTGACTGTTAAGCGCATGACTTCACCTTATGTCCAGAATTTAGTAGTGCTGGCGACGAGGGGAGGGGACGGGGAGGGGAGTGGGGGGGGGGGGGGGGGGGGGGGGGGGGGGGTGGGGGTGTTAGACATTGATCTACCAATCTTTAGTCCCGAGCAAGCTCTCAAGCCAGTCCCTTTGCTTCGCAAAGCAAACTCAAGGTAGTCCTTACCAGGCTACCTTTCGTGATTTTTAAACAATTGCTATAGTTAGTGACTGTAAGATGTTGAAACCTGTCGGGCATTTTGCCTTTTCCCAAAAGGTCGCAAGTGCGGCTTCAAGTCTACATGGCTCGGCTCCTTTTCCTCTCTGCGCCTCCTTCTCAGTGGCCTCTTTCTTAGCAATATCCCGTCGGCGTTGGTCCTGGTGCACGTTTTGGGTCGAAAACCCCGGCTCCGCGGCGGAGTGGGTTCCGATCGCTTGTTCCTGCCTTTTCCACGTCTTCCGCCCAACCGAGGAGCGAATGAACGGTCTTCTTCGCGTCTGGGGGCGGTGGGTTTTTGGTGAGGGTCGAAATGGTTCGGATTGAAGGAGCCCCATGAGTTGGAGAGAGCTAGTGACGACTCAAGGACTTCCTGCTAAGCCGAAGCCTCCATCAACTCGGAAAAATCCGTCGTTGACAGAAATAAACATACCCAGGTCGACCAGTGGACTCACCCCGGGAGAGCTCACACCCAGGCGCCAGGAGGCTAGGTTAGCCGCATTTCGGCATCATCCGGATGCGTGGATACTCTTTTTAAGGAAAAAAACTAAAAAAAACAAACATATAATAGCTTCTTTGTTACTACTAGTAAGGCACCTGTTACTACTAGCGTGGCACTTGTTACTACTAGCGTATTATACAGAAGTCGTCCTCCATGTTTTCTTCAAAGACTTTCCGCATCGTCCTCTTGGTCTGCTCCTGGTGTTGAACGCAGGCATAGGCCAAAGGCACCAGAACCCCCAGTCGGGGTGGTTTTCATGGACACTCCTGAAAAATTGCTAAGGGGCTATTTACATAGACACCCCACGGTGTCGGGTCCTGGCATAGGCCAATCTCCCAAGGGAATTTGGAGGGATGGATGATCACGGATTATCAGCACGGATGGTGCGGACCTAAACAACGACCAAAGAGCGAAACTCCGTTGTGCCTCCCAGGAACTGCAAGGGCGTGATGTACATCACGCGATTTCCGGACGAAAAGGGTGTAAACATGTTGGTGAAAATTGCGCCAACAAGGGGATTGGATGGTATTGGTGCGTTCTCCCATTATACCATCGGCCCGTGCAGGAATCAATTCTTCAAATACTTGTGCCGTATCACAGGACCTCCCCCCTTGCGTTGATACCAGCCGCTCCAATGCTTTCACTGGATCCTCAAGTCTGGTTGAAACAGCCTAAGCCCACATTCGGAACTTGCCGTTCCTTGCTATCTGCTGTCTTCCTATGCCTAAGCCTACCAAACGCCATTTGGATGAAACAACACCACCTGTTGGGTACAAGTATATAGTTGGCAACCCCGAACTCAACATGATGCACGACTCATAGGGCTCGTGTGGGCCCAAAGTGCTCTGGAAATTCCCGTCCTTCTTCTTCTCATAACCTCAGGACCCCCAAAAGATGCTGTCAACAGGGTCAACAGGTCACCATACAGTGTTGAGTCCCGGTGTGATGTGAATAGGAAAACGTCCCAAACAACACGGACGAGCACACCACTGGACGGTTTAAGAATAGTTACATAGTCTTCCAATAGAACAACTATAAGTAAATACATATTACACATGTAAGTTAATATTGAGATTGGACATCCCATGATATCCTTTACCTTTTCTGCACTTAGCATGGAAGCCTAAAGGGACAGGGAGTTCCCCAACCACTGCCAAGGAGATGTTGCTGCTTGCACCCCCTGACAGCTGTCGTGGCCTTTGCATTTGTAGGCACTGCAAAGTGCGCATGGAAAGCATATACACCGCTACAGCCTACAAGAACAACAGAAACATGTGGCAAATCATGTGGCCAACGATGGCAATGCTATAGTTTTCCTAGTAAGGAGGCGTGCCTGTTGGTTAAGACCCGCTTTTTTTCAGGTTGGGCCATGCCTCAAGCACGGACCACAAATTAGTTTTGCTTGGAGTAACGGCACAAGCATCACATCAAATGCATTGACGGAGTTTCTGCAACAAACCATTGACTGAGTTTATGCAAACATGTTTGTCCTTCACGTTTAGCACAGAATTCAAGTGGCATCCAAAATGCCCCAAAACAGAATACATAGATCTTTAATAGATATTTCGATATTTTGTGATTTGAAATTGTTTCTATCACGTGTTGCCAAAGGATTGGGCACCAGTACCGGCCCCTTTCAATCCCTTTCATGCATTAAACATCTGGGGAACATCTAGGGAATAAGCAAGCCTGGTTTGAACACAATCATGGACTGAAATCATTCAGGGAATTTTTACAGCCTGTTCTGAGTTGGGCAAATTATGTATAGAATGCTTCAAAACCTGGTGCCTTGGCCTACGATTCGGACCACTTTCCGGGCCGTCGCACGGCGACGGCGACGGCCATGTCCTCTCCGCACGTGTTGCCTGCCGAGCGACGCCGCTGTTCCAACTCCATCTCGTTCACGATCTTCTCTACCAAGGACCTCACAGGGCCCCTGTGAGCACCAGGTGGCTCTTGAGGTTCCACTTCAGGTCAAAACTGCATTGACTATAACACTTGTAACAAGACCGCACATATGTTTCCGCATGAGCTGCACACACACCCTGTCATCACGTTGAATGGACATTACCGGCTCAAACGTGTTACGCAATCGATATGTTCAACAATTGTTGGCCAGTTGTGGTCATAGTGCCGCGCACTCAAGGCTTCTGATGTCACCCGTCACATCTGGCAAGTGAACGAACCAGTCTACTGGGGAAGCTGAATTGAAATAATACCATCCCATAGCATGTCCTCTGGCTTCCCCCAAAAACACGTTCTCGTTGAAACCGAATGCGGAACATGTCAATCAACAGCTGCAGTACTCAACTTAACCTTTACACAGCCAAACAATATCTTCCGCATCTGGGTGACGCTGGACGCCCCTTTTGCATCTTGGTGACGCTTCTTCATCCTTCTTCTTCTGCAGCTCCTCATCTTTGAGCTTCCGCCTCATATGCCCAACTTTGAGATATCCAAATAGCGCACACACCCAAATGGCACACCTCCAGATTGATCCTGTGAAGTGGAACTGCACCAAAGCCGCAGTTTGATCGCATAGCGCTTCAGCCCAAATACGTATGGTGGTTTCTCCATGTTTCCCCGCTTGATCCTTGACCTCTGTGCCATCTCGGCCTCTGATGCTCTTGGGAGATATGATATGGTGGTGCGGCCCAGCTTTGTCAAACCCAGAATGTCCCGTGTGGTCCGTCCTTTGCCCCTGTGGTAGTTTCAGCCGGGCGACTCATACTCCAGCTGTGCATCGCGGTCGATCTTCTCCTGGAGCAATTTTTCTTGACCGGCGCGAGTCGCGCGAGTTCAAAGGGCCAGCTGATGCGGATGGAGTGTGACCAGCAACAGCAAAAGCTGTGACGAGCTTATTATCATACATTCATACATGATGTCCTTCAACACCGCCCTCCGTTTCCTCCCTTGATCTGCCGGCCTTGACGATCCGCTGCTGCTTCTCATCCTGACAGGGGCTTCAAACATGGATTTGGACCATGTGGCTGGGTCTGGAATGAGAGGAATCACCACCCTAAGTTGGAAGTCTCAAAACAGATCGCCTACCACGAGGTGAAGGTGGTGATCCGAGGATTTTTGTTGGTTGTCATTTGTGATGGAGGAAGCTCCAACCCTGAATTAGGAGTTTGCACCTAAGTTTCCCTATATACACCTCTCACACATCCTACACCTCGAACGATTCATAATATTGGACTGACCAAGACTGGTCTGCAAAAGGACAAATTCCGTAAAAAGGAATTCATCATTAGTTCTTGGTTGCAACAATGCGCGGCAGGTTGTCTCTCACAGATCAGGGGGACAACGAAATGGGGCCAGTCTATAGTGACCCTCAAAGATAAACAAGTCAAGTGAATTTCCTCTTTCAAACGTATTTGAAGCCCTATCCTTTTGGGAGACCAAAGGCCTTCATATAGATTTTTGCTTTATTTATATAAGATACATTCCATGGAGATCAAGATCTAGAATCTCATCAGCTCAACACCAATTACTCAAGCAGAAGCGTGCACAGCCGATGCGGAAGAACGTATTGATATGAGATTGGCTTTCGTTTCTTAAAAAAAAGGCATCGGACTTCAACGGATGTATGATATTTCCATGTTCTAAGTCCCTGCCCCCCAAAACTGGTTCGTTTGAACTTGTCTGGCTTTTCTGCGGTTTGTCCTTGGTTCTTCTTGGCTTTAGCTTGAAAAAGTGGAGGGGGCTGGAGACAGTGCGCAGTGCCTCCCCCTAAAAGCAACGAGCACCAGGAAAATATGACAACAACACCTTGACATAATATATCGATTATCAAAGTAAATGTAAATAATATGTCAACAATATGAAACAATAATATAATATGTAAGTTTTTAATTTTTTCACTTTGACATCATATATCAATCAAACAATATGAACCACATGATTCCACGTGAGCTTCCCCCGGGTTGGCTTCGCGCGCCAACGCTAGCCGCTGGGCTTGTCCGTCGCAGCCCATCGACACGATGACTCGCCCCGTCCGGTTCTCCTGTCGCAGCTGCTCCTGCTCCTTCCAACGTTCCAACTCCATGAGGGAGTTCCTGGGTCGGTGCTGGGAGTGACAGTGAAACGACAAGGATGTAAGAACAGGAGCTTTTCAGTAGTGGAAGTATAGCCTCTTGAGGAAATCACGCATGTTCATGCAAGGAATCAGGGCCAGAGATTTCCGCAAAGCCGAAAGGGCCCTAAATCTATGCAAAGGGTCTCGTCTTGCCATTCAGCCCAGGACCAAGGAGGTAGAGGGGCACTGCACTCTCTCGGACATTCCAAGGAAGAAACCATTTCAGGTGCGGCTCACTCCAAGCCCAACCCAAACGACGCTCGAGAGGCCACTGGAACCAAGGACTTTCGTGCTCAGCAGGGACCGGTCTTCACCAACACAGGCAGTCCCCGTGCTCCGCCGTGCTTTCGCCAAGGAGCTCGTAGTAGCGCTTATCTTCCTCTGACGAGGCGTTTGGGCTAGGCTGTGCCATTCACCATGCATGTGCCAGGGGTTTATATACATGATCAAAACAGCGTGGCATCCTCCGCTCTTGGACGTGAGGACGATTGTGGACGTGTGAAGAAACACGCCCCGTCCAAGGATCCGAATCGGAAGATGTATATCGAGGACATCATGAAACTCAAAGGGTAGGGAACTCAGAAGATCTTTTCAATTCTTGAACTGAGTAGCACGCGAAAGTCAGCCGGCACAAACCCGGCCCCACAACGGACGTTCTGGTGACAAGCTCGTACTGGTGCCTCCGTTCGACCAGGCGAGTGTCATCGTGTGTATGTGTATGTGTATGGTAGCAATTTGGGGGGGCTTCTTACACTGATATGGAACATGTATCCATGTTTTTTTGTGTTCATTTGATGGTGGGAAGACCACCGAGTTGGTGATTCACAGCATGTCCCCCCTCCAAAAAAATAAGTGATCTAATAAGGATCGCCATCCTAATCGCACAACATACGTAGTCCCAAAAATGACGCTGCAAGTCGTGATCTTAGAACCCATTCTGTCCATATTTTTTCGACGCTCAGTCACCCCAAACCGCCCGCGCCGCGCGGTGGAGGGTGGGCCGCCCCAGCCGTCCTCCACGGCGTATTCCTGACGCTTGGCCTTCTCTGCCACCTCAAATCGAGGGGGCGGTCGATTGGCCTCCTTGGAGCCCCTAGTAGCTTCTTGCTCCTAGTAGTAAGGCCAGGAGCCCCAAATAGCTTCTTGTTCCTAGTTCCCCAAGCCCGGAACCAGCACGGGAAGCAAAACACACGAACCCGTCGTGTTTGGGATTCGATGTCGAGCGGTTTGGTTCCGAGGGTTGAGAGGTTTGGCATCCCTACCAGGCCAACCATACCCCCTATTGAGGTGCGTTTGGATTGGAGCGCAAGTTGTGTGTGGAGATTGAGTTCCATCGTTTCGTTCGCCAGACCGAGACCATGGAATCACCTGTTCGACCACCTTTTTGGATCACCTACAGACCATCTTCATTTATGTTTGTGGTCTTGGACGACTGCAGGGCAGACTTTTTTTCATGGCGAGCGCCCCTCTCTCGAGGCGGACCCGAAACGAACATGCATATAGCCCTTCTACTTATATTCCTCTGGGCTGAGAAAACAGAGGTGCAAACATGGTGCTCCTGTCAGCGGAAGATATGGAAAGAAAACTCCTATTTCATGCTGCCTTCAGCACACCAGGTGGTAACTTCTGGTCAAAAATTCCTTTCCCATCCACTTGCTTTACTCCTCTGGTAGCAATTCCACGATTGTCCCGGTCCCGGTCCCAAAAAGGTGGCCAACCACCCACGGCATGACCACCACCGCTGTGACCACCACAGCGCATCCATCCAAAAAGCCTCTGGCACAGATCCCACAGCTCCCCTGAGCCTGCTGGTCCAAGTCCATGCGCATCTTCCGCTGCAACGCCTTGACGCCCAGCTGTTGCCGCAAGGCGTCCTGCTCGTGCAAGTAGGACCTGCCAGGTCCAAAGGCGAGGTCGGTCGTCGATGGCCTGTTGGATGGACCTGGGAGCTAGCAGAAAGGAAAGGAAAGGATACACAGGCCTAGGATCCAGTCCTAGGCCCAGTAAATAATAGTAAATACATGTAATTACTAGGCCCGAGTTTCTGCTGAAATTGTTGGGAAGTCATATGCTTACGAAACAGAGATCTGCTGAGATCTGCTGAAAGCGGATCATCTGGTGACTCCGAGTGGACTGGCCTTTGCACCATCACGACAAAAAAACCAACAACAAACGTTGCATGGCAGCGGGAGTGGGGGTTGCTATTTGATAGAAGCCTCTAAGC